TGTATCTCAAGAAGGCTATAGGGGTCTGATCAACCTCTCGCCTCTCCCCGTCGCCGCCTGATCCCTTGACGTACCCTTCCCTGCGCGCAAGTTCCACGGAGCCTAGCAAACTTCGTGTGAGTGAATCCAGAGCTCTACCCGGGTTCAAGTCCTGCAGTTTTTTTTCTTCCCGTCGCCGAAACCCCATTGCGACGTACTCTCAAGGTTTTTGTTCATCTTCCCGTTGCTGAAACCCCATTGCGACATACCCTCATGTTCTGCAGGTTCGAGTTTTGTTTTGTTTTGTAACTGCAACTCAAGCAAGTTTTCCTGCCTGCACCGCGACCATCTTCGGTGTAAGTAAAATAATCTTAAATCAACCACCAAGCGTCTGTGACTAATTCTAGCGTGCCGCCTGTCTTCCCCGACCCGGCGTGTCCGGGCTGCTGGCCACAGCCCGCCGCACGAAAAAACCCCCTGAGGGCCTCGGACCGCTCCCGACCCGCACAGGCGGCAGCAGGGTGGGGAGCCCCAAACCTGCACCTGGCCTGCACACAAATCTGGGAGCATACGCCCCCCATGTCCCACCTCTGGAGTGTGCACAGTGGCAGGGAGCCATCTCCCCCACCTGAACCCACAGTGTGCAGCCTGCATTTGTACCCCCACAGGCTCCACTCCAGCCATGCTGCCCACGCAGAAAGGGAAGCTGGACTCCGTGCTCTACTGCAGCAGCTGATACCTCCCGCAGGCAGCAGCTGGGGCTGGACACAAAAAATGCCAAAATTTATAGGTATTTAGAACATATTTTATTATAGTGATTGAGGCACTGGTAGGCTTCCAAATTGCTTTAAAATTGTAAATAGATCAATAAAACATTGTGCTCAACTAACACCTATGTATATAGTGGCATTTCATTTTAATCACGGAAAAATGTGGATTTTGGGGTTCGATTTAAATCAGAGAATTTTTTATTTTTTTTAAGCAGAGAATTTGTTATTTTTAAACAGAGAAAACTAGGGGGTCTCTAACTTTCCACATGGGAGCAAGTTTGTTTGGAAGTTTCAGTAAAGAAATCTCACCACGCTTGGGAGCTTGAGGCAGACACTAGTTTCTGAGGACACAAACTCTGCCCTATATTAAGTGCAGGAAAATTATATCACAAAAAATGTATCCTGAGTCGGCCTAAAATGTCCCTAACTACATTTTTGAGAAGCTTTGTTTCCATCAGAAAGCACAAACTACCTATCAGCACCTAGTTGGTAGCTCTGATCATTTTAACTGAATAGATCTAAACCAGTGATACTGAACCAGGGTGCTATGGTTGAGGTTGATGACAACAAGAAATTGGGCGAGTGGGTAGGTCTCTGCAAAACTGACAGAGAAGGAAAACCCCGCAAAGTAGTGGGCTGCAGTTGTGTGGTTGTCAAAGTAAGATAACACATTATTCCACTTAGTTTCAAAATTGTGTAATGCAACTAAAATGGAATGGGGGTGCCACTTTGGAAGCCCGTTGTGGCAGTGAAACTTCCTGTCTGCCAAAAATAAATTAATGCTTCCTGTTGTAAATTAGGCATACGAGATTCTTTTTATAACTTACTAGTATAGACTTTAGAGCTGAAGTAGATCCTAATACTAAATTTAATCTTTGACTGCTGATTTGTTTCTATTTATAATAGAAGCTCAATAAAATCTTTTCTCAGGTTTGGAATAATAATGCATTTTCCAAAATAATATCAGTTGGATCATAAAACTAATTTAAGACCATCATTTATTGGAGAAAAATGTTTTTGGTTCTTGGGGGTTTTTTTGTTTTAAATTGCAAATGCCGGTAAATTATGTCTGCTTAACTTGAATGTGTTCTGCAGAACTCCATACAATTACACTGGCAATAATAAAGCCACAGTACGAGCCTTAAAGATTTGCTAGTCTTTGAGGTCCCAGAAAATGGCTACACTTCTTTACAGTAGAAGGGTAACGACGTTTCAAAAATGTTTCTCTTAATCGCAAAGATCATAATGGTTTCTGTAAAAAGTGTTTTGTTTCTTTTTTAAATTTTATTTTAAGGTTAGCTCAGGCATGATAAATAGCAAGTGGTCTTGTACTTCAATTAAATATAATAGCCATCGCTGTTAAATAGTTATCAGGGAACAGAGGAGAGAGGAAAAACATTCCAGCTTTGAATTTGCTCAGGGAATATAATACCATCATAGGAACACAGCACTACTGCCTTTTGCTGACAATGGGGGTACATTTAGATTATTTTGGTTGGGGTGGGGTGGGGTTTTGAATAATGAATGTAAACCAGATATAGTAATTCTGAACAAGTGTTTACTTTTTTTAATGGTTTGTATGCTGTGCATTTTGTGCTTATAGGACTATGGCAAGGAATCTCAGGCCAAAGATGTCATCGAAGAGTACTTCAAATGCAAAAAATGAACTAAAAAATAAAAACGTTTTTCAGATTGATAAAGTGTATGGTTCCTCATTTTTGATGGATGGAAATCTGTGATCTTCATGTGAGCTCCAAAAAACACATTCATAAACTCTTTTTTTCACCTTCAATTTTTTTGGAAATTTTAATTCTGCCAACAGTATCCATTTAAATATTACACACTGTAGGGATGTCCTAGCTGTTGCTTTGGACTGAGGGAAGAATTCCAAAAACATTGCATCTATAATGCAAATTTGGCCCCTTCGACTGAAACAAGTGAGAAGTGCCTAAATTGTTAGCCAGTTTTTTCTGAGATGTAGCACAAACTCGTATAGTATTTTTCTTGTATTGTTTTACCACTGGCTACATCTTAAACACATTTTCCCCACTTCTGGAAACTCAAATTACTGGTGTGAAGAAAATAAGACTTTGGGTTGAAGTGGGTTTGAGTACATTTTCACACCAAACGTGAATAATTTGGATTTTTGAATCCCTGCGTGTAGAAGGTCAGGAGTTTCGTCGTTCCGTTTAGAACAAGGGCTTTAGATGTTGATCCAAAGCCTAGATCTGTCCACAAGTACAGCAAATATATTCTTAAGTTGGCTCCATTATAAATAGGTTCTCAAGTAATTTTTGTCCTCTTGACCATGATTATTTACTGTCTTATGTTAAGTGTGCAGTTAAGCATTACCCTGATTTGGTAGTGTTTTGGTTAATGTGTGGAGAAGTTATTGGGTATTTGAGTTGAGAGAAGTACTAATGATGCCTATATTGTGCTAAATTACTGTAGAGGGGTTTTTTGTTTGGTTTTTTTTTAGTCTTTTTGGAAGTCTCGGTAATTTTCAAATACAGCAAGTGGGCATCTTGACTAGAATCTTTTTTTTTCTTCTTTTCTCTCCTTTAAAACTGAGTTGATAGAAATTTTTATAAACAAAATGATAACCAAAATCAAAATGCATGCCGAGGAATAGATAGATGATTCTCCAACCATATTCACAGTTGAATCTGACTCTTGGAAGTGTTTTAATAATAGTGACTAATGGTGTTGAGACTTCTGGAAAGGCTATTCTAGTGGCCTAATGCAAAATCCTTTCAAATGCTCAGCTGTATATGCCTAAAAAAAGCCAGAGGTGGGTTGATGTCTTAATTGTATGGCGTTGTGCCTTACTCTAATTTTCTTTAGATGATCACATACCTTGTTGTATAGTGTCCATTGAACGAGTGGCTCTGACATACCTTTTCTGAAGACTTCAAATTATAGTCTTGACTACAAAGTTACTCATGAATTCTGTGGGGCTACATAATTATAATCTGTTTGGAGCAGGAACTAGTGGAGTAAAACTAGTATCTATTTTGGCACAAATATTTAACCAGAGAATGAGCGAGAGATTGACTTGATCACCCTGATTCTTAGATATTAAATTCTCTCAATACGTCGGATGCACAGCTTAGGCTGGAGGATTCCAGGACACCAGCCCCGTGCAGCACACTGCAATGCTTCCCTGCCCCCCTACCCCAGCTTGCTCTCCTGATTAGTTGCCAGGCTGCTGTGAGAGTCTCAATGGCAGGCATAAGTGTGTCCAAGGAGCAGGGCTGGGGGGTAGATGAGGGCAGCAGCACCCCACTGCAGGCTGCACAGGTGCCATGTGTCCCGAGAGGGGTGGGGGGAATTGCATGCAACAGCTATCACCACCCCACAGCACTTTCCAATGGTGGGTTGCACATGCGGCTCCACAGGCTGCTGGGCTGCTGATGGGCGGTGCGCAATTGGCCGGGCAGGAGGCCCATCCGCAGCCCATAGAGCCGTATGTGCAACTGGCCATGGGAAAGTGGGGTGGTGGCAGCAGTGGCTGCATGCGAGCACCCCACCTCCTGCCCCACATCGGGCCATTGCTACCAGAAGGGGTACGCTTGCTAAAAGGTTGAAAATCCGTGCTCTAATATGTAATACTCAATGGTGTATGTAATACTCAATTTTTTCTATGAATTTTTCCAGTCTCCTTTTGAACCTGGTAAAATGATAACCTTCCAGAATACTCTTTGGTAATGAGTTCCACATGCATGCTACCTGAAAGAGCTTTTTGTTAATTTCACTGTGTGTTCCCTAGTTCTGGTATTGTGAGTGACTGGTGTGGACTATTCATTGTTTGTATCCAAGGCTTCCTCAACCACTTGTCTTGGTATGCCTACTTCTATGATCTATCTCTTGTCCTCCTGCTCAGTGGTTGGGCAGTTTCTATGCTGCCTCAATGGCACTGCGAGGTAGCCGTGCTCCTAGCACCATGGTGGTTAGCAACAAGCAGGAGCCAACACTTGCAGGAGAAATCCTGCTCAGCCTTTGTATTATTGAGTTTGAGCGCATGTGTAATCCAATAAGCACATAGGAGCATATCTAATGCAGATGGAATTGGGATTTAGGTACCAATTTCTGTAAGGTCTACTAGATTTTTTTCAGCGCTTTATGACTTGGCTTCAGTGTGGACCTTCAGAAACGGCAAAAAGCACATCTGTCACATCTGTAGGACATGCTGCTACCACATCTAAAGTGCTTTAAAGTCTACAGGTGCTAGAGCTTCTTAAGAAACCAATTGAAGAATTTTTAATGAGCAAAGTGATATACTGTATTTTGTTGCATACAACCCACACCTTTTTCACTAAAATAAGCTGGTGAAACTTGAAGTATGCGTTATATGTGAGAGAACCAGACTTCCTGTCCCCCTCTTCCTCTCCCCCTCCCATGCTTGGAAATTTGGCTGTAGGTGGGCAGTGGCAATGTTTATTGTTGCAGGGGAGCAGGGCGAGTGGTTGCAAACTTCTGGGCTCATAGGGAATCCCTAGGCCAAATGATGTGGCCCTGTGCACTGGATTTGGCCAATGCCGAGGGTTGGTCTGTGGTCAAGACCAGCATGTGAGGTCACTGTGCATGGGGTCAGACTCGGGCTTCGTTCCCTAGTTGCTGTTGCTTGGCTTCTTTAAGGATTTTTTAAAATTCATCCTGCCTCTTAAAAACAAGGTGGTACAGCTTGAGGGGAGGCATGTGAGAAATATCTTTATATTAAATTTAAAATACATTTTAAAAATTTCCTTAAACTCATTCACAAAAACAGTGGACATGCTTTAGTCAAAACACTTTTTAAAAATACAGCATGAAGCCAACTTCTAGGGGGACTTCAGCCCTAAACTGTTAACAGCCCTAAACATCAAATAAACAGGGTCTTAGAATGGGAATATTGGTGACAGTGATACCAACTCCACCTATGGCATGTTTGTGAGAGGGGAATCATATCATCTACCATTTGAAGTGCATACTGGGCACCCACTGCAAAATAATCTGGTAGTGTGAACTGAATTCTCACATGTTCTCCTGTATTTATATCATAGCACTTAGATGCACCAGATCATCAATGGATCTGTGCTAGGCACTGCAGAGCAGAAAACAAAAACATCACACCTGCCCCAGAAACCTACAAGAGGGGGAAACATTTTTCTTAATGAAAAAAGCTGGCTTGTGGAACAGGACATATGCTTGTGGGATGTTCTTACAGTAAAGAAGAGCAGACCAACTTCAATTTAATTCGATTTCATAAAGTCTAGCTTTTTAGTTGCTGATACTTATACTGTCACATCACAGCTAGAACTCCAGTCTCTAAGTAATTCCTTCTCTAGATTTCTCCTTTCTGACACTGGTAGTATGAACCCCTGTGTTAAGACAAATTTTACACAGGAAAGGGTGATAGCTTTTGTGTGGCCTATTTACATGTGATACTGATGGTAAATGTTTGGGAGAAATGTAACTGCGTTGGTTAGAAGGGAAATTGATGTTCTCTGGCATAGGTACCAACAAAAAATGTAGCCCCTTTTTTTATTTATTTATGTATTTATTTTTTTTAATAACACAACCCTTTTTGTTTTTTACTAAGAAAATTAGTATTTTATAAAGTAATCTGTGTTAGACTAGATAGCAGTGTTTATAGATGTATACAATATTTAAGCCAGCCCTTTTGTTGTTCCTGAGTTTAGATTTTCTGCAATACAGGTTTGAGTTCTGAGACGAGAGCGACACACATCTTTGGGGACAATTAAATAACATTTGTTTTTCTCTTTCTTTATTTTAATACTATGCCTAGGGAGCATAAACGCTACTCTATTATTATTTAAGGCTGTAGGACCGTTAAGGGACTCTATTGAGGACCACTTTTACATTGCAAATTGGAATGTTGTAACCAAGGTCTCTGACACTATTGTAACTGCAGTGTAGATAAATCGTAAAGGACTTTTATTTCTCTCTCTCATACTCATAATCCAGGAAATTAGAGACCCTCACTCCACTTATGAAATTTTATAGAAAATTCTACTGCATTCAGCACATTTTAATTGGTGATACAGCCAAACTGTGTCTGACGTTTATTTTTGTGTCTGTGATTGCAGAGACAGATCAAAATACCTTTTGCTTTACATATTCTAAATTACATCCTTTGGAGTACCTTTTTAAACTAAATATAACATCAAAACCCATTGAGTGAAAATCTTCACTACTGAAGACGGCAGGAGTTTTGTCATGGACTTTTGTGTGGCCAGCATTAAGGAGCACTGAGGAATTTAGGAAAACTCCCCACTGTTGCTTTTGCATTACGTTACAACTCCAATAGGTAGGTAGTGTGCTTGTCACCTAGCCCTGTACAGTCATAGCATGTTACTCATACTGTCTGCTTTGGCAGATTTTTATAGTGTAGTGTTTGGAAGTGAATTTGTCCATGTTAGTATTTTATAAAAAGTAATCTGTGTAGACTAGATGGAAATTCACAATATTTGGTGTTCTTGGATACAGTGCAATGATACACCTATCGATAGTAAAGAATATCTGTTTAAAAAAATCAAGCCCCTTTTATAATTAAAAATTGAGGAACTCAACAAGCTCCACTGGAAGCTCATAAATATGGTAGAGTTTATGGTTTGTTTTTCCTCTAGCTTATGGCCTTTCCCCCCAGATGTATTTGCCATTTGCTAAATTAGTGTATATGTTAAAATCAGTTTATTTA